TGTGTGTGTGTGTGTGTGTGTGTGTGTAATTTATTACAAATACCTTCATTTCTGGACATTTATGGTTTGATTTCTTTGTATGTATGGATCACTTGGGTTGTTACCGACATCTGGTGAAAATTTCATGTCATTAGCACCTCTAGTAATATATTTACTGAGAAAAACGGTGACGTGTTCAATACTTATTTTACCCGCTGTAAATACAAGCAGGTGTTTTGTCAGTGTGGACGCAGATAAAGGAAATTTAAAAAAAGACACAGAAAAAGTATTAACATAAAACTTTTTATAGTAACTTGTCAGAAAAAAAATGTCACATCCAGAGTAAAAACATTCTGAATCTTTATCTCAGTAGTAAAACTAGAACTTTTTGAAATCTGACTAAAAACTTTTAATAGGTCCTAAGCAGAGGTGGGCAGCACTAATCTAAAAAATTGTTCCACTAGCCCTAAAACAATAACTCAAATATTTAGGTCCTCTAATTCTAAAGCACTAAAATAACAGTCAACCCGTGAACATTCGTCAACAGACAACATGAGTCACATGTTGCTCTGTAAATACTTATCATTGACACTCCACAGCTGTATTTGTGTTCATATATTGTCACCTGGTGGATCAGTGACACACATGAACAAAATGTGCGACAGCTTTAACTCTCAGCTGTTAACATTAACATTAATCAATAACATTTATAGACCTCAGTTAGTTCCCCTATTACTCAAATCTAAATATCAAACCTACAAAAACAACAAATTCCATAGTGTTGCTATTAAACGTGTAGTTAAATTGAAAAAGTTGTGCGGAAAAAACAAATCCATCTCATGAACCGATGTCTCGCAGAATTGGGATTCATCAGCGTATGTAAACATATGAAGCAGACGATCAACGCCCACCAGCTGCCGCTCGGTTAGTGTTACACCATATTTTGTGACTGCCATATTGTGACCAGAGGGGGCGCTGTTGCGTTTCTACAACAGAACTTGGCTGAACATGGCCACAAAGAAGAACATGATACGCCAACAGTGTAAGCTAAAGGCTGAAGACTTATGAAAAAAAAAAAAAAAAAAACTGCTGACTGTTATACATGGTCACAGAATATGACAGCTTGTCATTTATCGTGACTTCACTGTAGCTAAGGAAATAGTAAAAATTTTTATTCAAAAACTATTTCTACTAATCCTCTAGCGTCGGAAAAATAACTTTTGATCAATGACATGGTGACTGTTATTAAATTAGTACAGGGTCACATAATATGATAGCTATTATCATATATAGTACTAATAACAGTAGTAGTAATAGTCAACATGTCAGTGATCAGAAGTTATTTTTCTGACATTAGAGGATGTAAACACTAAGTAAAATCAGCTTATGAATAAATATTTTTACTATTTACCAAGCTACAGTGAAGTCACAATATATGACGACAGTCGTCATATTTTGTGACCTCTGGGTTACACTTTTGGCGTATCGTATTCTTCTTTGTGGCCGTGCTCGGCCAAGTTCTGTTGTAGAAACGCAACAGCGCCCCCTCTGGTCACAAAATATGGTGCAACACCGGCCGGCTCCGCCCTCATCCCACGTACACACGTCTTCGCACCAGGTCGACAAGCGCAGCTGCTTGGGGATTTATCCTCATCATGCAGGCTTTGACCCTCCTCATCGGGACCCTCACTCCTCTGGCTTGAAGAGACGCTCGGACCGCCTCCGGTTCAAACGGATGGTTACGCTCTACCATCAGCTGAACGAACTCGTCCAGGGCACCGTCTGACAGTTTAGCGTACTGTGAGGCACGGCTGAGGTGAAAATGTCTGAAAACAACATTACGAAAATTACTACAATTGTAACAAAGTAATTCCCTTTTAGGATAAACATACTAATAGTTTCAAAAAGAAAAAAATTGTATAGGTCTTCTGGACGGGTTCTTCTCTAATGAAACGTTTCATCTCTCCTCCAAGAGACTTCTTCAGTCTGAGAGTTTCAGGCAAAATTCAGGCTTTTAAGTCCTGCCTCCAGGTGACTGATACTACATCACATGGCTATCGTTGACACCTAATTAATACCTATTGTTAACAGTGGGTAGCGTGATACTGGCAATGGCCGCGCTGTAGGAGGGGGACAACTGAAAACGGAGGCCTCCACCTCTGTTTAATGATGGACGGTCTTTCTTCACAAAAATGGCTTATTTTACTCCTCTCTCAAACCAACGTTCCTCTATCAAGAATGAGAACATCCTCATCTCTGAAAGAGTGACCGCTGGCCTGTAAATGAGTGAAAACTGCAGAGTTCTGGCCATTAGATGTAGCTTGTCTGTGTTGGGACATTCTTTTGAACAGTGGCTGCTTTGTTTACCCGAGGACTGCGACCAGTTATACATCGGGGAAACAAAGCAGCCACTGTTCAAAAGAATGTCCCAACACAGACGAGCTACATCTAATGGCCAGAACTCTGCAGTTTTCACTCATTTACAGGCCAGCGGTCACTCTTTCAGAGATGAGGATGTTCTCATTCTTGATAGAGAGGAACGTTGGTTTGAGAGAGGAGTAAAATAAGCCATTTTTGTGAAGAAAGACCGTCCATCATTAAACAGAGGTGGAGGCCTCCGTTTTCAGTTGTCCCCCTCCTACAGCGCTCCTAGTGCCAGTATCACTCCACCCCCTGTTAACAATAAGTGTTAATTAGGTGTCAACAATAGCCATGTGATGTGAGTATCAGTCACATGGAGGCAGTGCTTAAAAGCCTGAATTTTGCCTGAAACTCTCAGACTGAAGAAGTCTCTTGGAGGAGAAACGAAGCATTTCATTAGAGAAGAACCCGTCCAGAAGACCTATGCAATTTTTTTTCTTTTTGATTTTTTACCTGGATTACTGAGATGCATCAGGACACTAATAGTTTCACTTACTTCAAACGCCTTCTTATTGTAGAAACAGAAACGTTTAATATTTCGGCCATCTGATGTGCTGTAAAAGCACAGGAGGTCAGGAATAACAGCTGCTCCTGGGTGATGAGGTGGGATCTACCTCTGTCCGAACCCTGTGGTGCCTGACATCCAACGCAGCCTGCAGGAATGTTTTCATTAGTTCGTTATTTTTGTTTTTAGGCCTTTTGATGAGCGGAGGAAGTTTCTAAGAGCTCACCGTGTTGTTTGCGCCTTGTGAACGATCTCACTACTTGAATCAGTTCAGCCAAGACGTCCAGAAGTTGATCAGATGAAGTTGTATCGATCAGTCTTCCTGCTGACCACTGAAGGCTGCTCTCCATCGTCTCCAGCCTGCAGAGGAAACAAGTGGGACACAGAGGAAACCTCACCAGCAGCTCTCAGAAACAAATGACAAAACCCTTTTTTAAGGAATAAACAGTAATGTATAAGTTCGTCACTTCTTGTTTGAATAAAAGTATCTAAGGGTCCTGCTGTGACGTCACAGCGAGACAATGAATGAACCCGAGCCCCTAATGGCGTCTGACCTCGTGGCTCAGTTATAATTAGTTTAATTTTTCCATCACATTCAGGTCATACCTCCTTAATATTGACTGTAGATGACCGGGTCCAGCATCCTCCACCAGGAGCTGCTCCACACACTCAGTCAGGGCCGTCTTGTATCGACAGATGAAAGTCCTGCGAGCCATGATGATGAATTTATTTGACTTTCACTCCAACAAAACAAAACAGACACGCTTTAGTTTCACTACGATGGCACACCGCAGGTTTTGTGGTTCAACTTGTTGTAAAAAAAAATCCCCCGTTTCTTAACACGTTAAAGTGTACCTTACTGTAAAGTGAAAGTACACCACCACAACAAAGCAAACCAGTCCTGAAGTGGTGCGCATGCGCAGAACAAGTCTTCCTCTCTTCTTCGTGTGTTTTAAGACGGTTGACAAACCGATGGTGGTGAAATAGCGCCACCTACTGGCATAAAGTGTGAATCAAGCTTATTGTTTTCTTTATAACATTGTCATTCGAAAAACACTTATATTTGAATATTTTTTTACCTCTTGTTTCTTTTTGTAATATAATTACTATTATAAATGTTCTTTGATTTCCTTGATTCCTCTGTCATCATCTGTTTGAACATATTATCATGACCTGTTCTGCAGTTTCTTCATGTCCACATTGCTCTCGTGGACCTGTCTGATCAGTTGCCCTTTTAAACCCACTCCCATTTGTTACCCATATGGTGCCCACAGAACATAGGGAACATGTGGGACCTACTCGGCTCAACCAAGTGGGTCCCAAATAAGAAGCCCATTGTAAGCCCATGCCCACTTGGAACCCCCAAAGCCCAAGTAAATCCCATGTGGGGCCCACATTCAGGTGTTTGCTGGGGTATTGTGTTTTTGGGTTCAATATAATGTGCTGTTCTCTCCACTGTGTCCAAACCTTAGTCTGGTTATTAATATTTTTCTTTTTCCCACGTGTCTTTGAATTCCGTAAAACCACCTTCCTTTGTTTTCTTCTTCCCAGTGCTTGTCGTTGTTCCATTAGTTTTAGTTTTAGTTCTTACTTTTGATTTACTGATGGATATTGTAAAGTTGAAATGATCATTTGTTGCTGCTTCAGATGTTCTGGTATCCATATGTTACTGTCATTCCCATCATCAGTATTCTGAATAATGTTAAAGGCTTGACGTCGCACACAACACGCTGTTTAGAGAGCTGGTAAATCTGGTTCACTTTGTGAAACTGGGATAATCAACATCCCAGTTCACTTTTTTGAAAAAGTATATTATACAGCAAAAAACGCCTACAGCTATCAGCATCTATAGCAACTAAAAGAAAAATAAATCAGCTACTGTTCAAAAGGATGGCCCAGCACAGAAGAGCAACATCATCAGGCCAGGATTCTGCAGTTTACACTCATCTAGTGGTCACTCTTTCAAGGAAGAAGATGTTCTCATATTTGATAGAGAGGAACTTAAGAGTGGAGTAAAAAAATCTATTTTTGTGAAGTAAAAAGTATCCATCATTAAACAGAGGTGGAGGCCTTCGTGTCCAGTTGCCTCCCATCTTACAATGTTGTTATTGTGAGAATGACCTCTGTGAACAATAAAGATAATCTTTCAGGCTCCTCTCTTTCACCTATTTATCCTGTGGGGATGTAGCTCAGTGGTAGAGCACATGCTTCGCATGCATGGGGTCCTGGGTTCAATCCCCAGCATCTCCAATGTGAATTTATGTTAACTGTGGTGTAGCAGTATAGTTGTCTTGAGACCAGAAAGTCACAGGTTCAAGCCCACATATCCTGGAGCACACTGAGTCCCCAAACTCCTCAGGTGCTGACATTGCTGGTCGCTGCTCCATCGGTTTATTTCATGAGTGATGGGTCAAATGCAGAGCACCAATTTTGTCATTGCATGAAAGCATGCATTGACGACAATACATTGCTATTATTTAATAGTACAGAAGATGAGGCTGCAAAAGATCCCCAAAAAGGGACACCAAGATTTGACCATCTAGGGTTGATAAAACCAGTAACTACCGCCCGGGCCAAGAAATAATCATCGATGAGAGGCTGTCTGTCTCAATATCTCAGAGTTCAAACTATGCATGAAGGGAAAACATTTCATTGGGGATCAAGTTATTTGTTTTTAGCTGACTGCTATATTTGTGATTTTATTTGTCAGGTCAAAAAAAGGCACAAGGTTTCAAATAGTTTGTGGACACCTATACCAATCTAGCCTGGTAAAAACCAGACCCTTGTCCTTCACTCTGCTTCATACGAGGGTCTGGACTCTCGGCTATAGAGAAGATTCTTGCTGGAGGCGTGGCCTCTGCTGAGGTTTAAAATGATTGGATCTGTTGGACATGACGAATGTGTGCCAGCTCCACTGTGAAGGAGGCTAAGCTAAGAAGCTAACCAGAAATTATGTGTGCTGTAAACGACCCTACTGAGAGGAGAGAAGTACCGAGCCAAATGAGACGGCTATAAACGAGAACTGCTGCTTTGTCAGACAAATTTAATTTAATTTGGAAGCCTCATCAACACGGACTGGCTTTATTCACTTCCTCCACTGCCGTATGATAAACTAACTAGCAGACTGCGCAGAAAATTGACGTTCTGTTCTCTGATTGACCTGAACGAAATGCTCCCGAAGAAATCCTTGTCAATGGGAGAAATCCCAGACGGAGCAGTGAAGGGAAACTAGAACTGAGCGGAACTGCGTAGGAAGGCTAGGACCAGGCTAATACCAGTCTACCGCCACTTGAAGATCTAGTTCAGACCTGGGCTTGCTGGACCATTTGGACCAACAGGGTCCCTAAGACAAAACTAAATGCATTGGATACTCTCCCCTCTGCTGCACCTGTTAGTTTTGTGCCCCATTGTATTCTCATTTCTGTCTTTTTACTGTTCAGGTGGTTGTGGTGGAGTAGAGGATTTCAAGGTTCATCAAATAGTCCTACACGACACCTACAAGCGGTATGAAACATTTTTTTACCACTTGTGTCAACATGTAATGCCTGTGCAAAGAACTGTGCAAAGCAACAGACCAATGCATCAGAAGGGACAGAAAACCTAACAGAGCAGCTAATGATTTTGGGCTCAGAGGAAACCATCCCTGGGCCGTCACAGAACCATCTGTCTCACAAGAGGGACAGAACATTTAGTCTACATATACGACGAGAGGAGTGCTGGCCGACTGTGTCAGAACAGCAGATAACTAATCCACGTGTGTAGAGCCATTACAAAATGTGACACACTGAAGATTTGTGCGTGAAATCAATTGGACGCTAAAGTAGAAATGTGAAATAGTAAATAGTTTACCTTAGCTTTCATTAGAACCCTCACTGATTTGTTGATGTATTCAGGAGTTACAGCATGTTGATGTTGGCATGTTTAGGTGTTATTCCTTTTTGGAAAACTCAGGCACAGAACAGTCAGCTTTTATGTTATCCACTACTTCTAATTTGGACCCATCATAGGAAAGTCATAAAATGCCTGTGACATCACATTGTTGTCATAAATTTGAATTCATTTTTGGAAAGACAACACTGATAACATATTGCCAAACAAATTCCACACCGCTGAGATAACAGTTGTTGAGATATTTTTACGTAAATTAACAGGAAGTGATGTCAAAGGGGAATGTCTGCATGTGAACAGAGCATTGATAAAATGTGTGACAACACAGACTGTAGAGAAGAATCTGATGTTTCTTTAGATCATTTTGAGTCACTGTCAGAGAGATGAAGAAGAGTCAGAGTTCAAACAATGTTTCAATAAACAAAGATTAGAGTGATAGGGTTTTCTTTCTTAAAGAGTTCCCCTTTGATGTCACTTCCTGTTTCACTTTGGCTGAGACAAATTCAAAATAAACTAGACATGGGTTTTTACAATGTAAAAACAAGTGTGCATTGCCATGTAGCATGTCATTGCAGCAGCATTGGACTTGCAGAAGGAACTTTGACCAAGTTCAAATGTGTTTTCTATACCAGCTTGTGCCTGTCACGTCAGCAGGTGTTTGTAATCAAGGTAATTGTGTGACAATATAAAGTTGGAGGAGATTTTTTGTTAAAATTACATTAGCTGGGTTTTGAACCTTGATCTCCCACATGATAGTCCATGACATAGACAATTAGACCAATGGAGTTGTGGCAGAAAGTGGTGGCAGGGGTTGGTTTGTATGTGTGCCAGAAAGAGGCCACATTGCCAATACAATTATTGACACTAAATTGCATAATAATACAACAACAGATCAGTATTAAGATAATGATATAGTAAAACATCCAAATACAATCATATTAGTATTGTAAACACTGAACAATTGAGATTAAATATTATTAAGCAGGTGTTTGTAATTAAGGTAATTGTGTGACAACATAAAGTTTGAAGAGATTTTTGTTAAAGTTGCACTAGCTGGATTTGAACCCTGATCTCCCACACGAAAGCCCGCAATGCTCATCATGAGACTATAGGAGATGTGGTAGGGGATAATCATAGGGATTGGATTGTATGTATACAGAAAGTTTACCTTGCCAATGTAATTATTGACACTTAAGTGCAATATATTACAGCAAWAGGACAACATAAAGACAGTATTACAGTAAAACATCAAAATACAATCATATTAATATTGTAATCACTGAACTACTGAGTTTAAATATTATGAAACTATGGTGCAGTACCATATTGTGTAGATGCAGCAGGGGGCAGTATTGGACCAATTCAAGGCTCCGTTGACTGCCATTATAATTTATTAAACATTAGTATTTCAAAAACTATAAGTTTTATAGGCACCAAAAGGCATAGCCATTATTTGGCACAGGGGCTTTACAGATATAAATTACAATGGCAGCTCTAGGACAAAGTATGCAGGAGGAGAAGCATGGCAAAATTGAGATGACTTGGATGGGAAACGAATCACAATAGTGTGCATTGCATTGGCAATGCACACTGAATAGGCCAGTCATGTGATAAAATGTGTAAAGTCATGTACTATGCCAATTTTCTTAAGTTTAAATATGTTTTCTTTGACTTCTTCAATGGGGATCAAGTTCTTTGACTATTTTCTTTTTTATGTGACAAAATGGGTAAAATCATGTTTATTATGCCAAGTTTCTTATGTATAAAAATGATTTCTTCAACTTTTTGTATTTCAAAGATATGCACATCACAGGCACTTTAACCTTCCAGTCCACAAGGCCTTGCCTCGGTCTACACGTTCTTGACAAAAAAAAAAAATCCCATAAGACAAACTGTGTGTGTTCAAACAACTTACAGTTACAAGAAATGCGACTGCTGAGATAACAATTTAAACGGTTACATGTACAAATACACCAAGCTTTTGTATGAACTGCAAATGCTTCAAGAACAACATCTAATTTAGTTTGGGTGTTTTTTTTTTTGTTTTTTTGCCAGGTGTTTCAGGCATCTCAATGGTTAAAAATAGTCATGCATAAATAATTTGTGTACAAATGCTCAAGTTTAAACAAAAAACTTTGAGCATTTTGGTGCAGATTGGATGAACTTGTCATGGAAGAGATTTAAATGTCCTCAGTGGGCGGGGCTAAAGCAGTGGTGGATGTTGACATGTGGATGTGTTGAAAACGGACTAAGAGCAAATATTAGCACTTTAATTCAGGTATCATGTTTTATTGGAGGTATAGATTTAATTTAGAGTTTGTTTCATGGCAAACAGCTTTAGTTAGACCTGAAGTGTTGTTCACTTTGGATTTGAAATACATTTTGAATGTATTATTTACTCTATGGACAATAAATGTACAAAAACAACAAAAAGTGAAGTGTTGCTGTTAATTTTCATCTCTTCTCATCACATCTCAGTTAAAATGGTGGTATTTTACTGTTTTAACCTCTGGGCATCATAAGCCCGTCCTGTGCTTCAGAAATGATATTCTTGTTTTATTCAGTATCTCTGAGCAGCAGCAGTTTGTTTCTGGAAGCTGTGATGTCCTAACATGGCGTTCATCACATCATCCATCCTCAAACGGATTTTCTGTGATCACAAGGGTTCTGCTTCTGTAGGCTGTTTTCTAATGGTTGCTAGGTAACTGTGGAGGTTTGCCTCCGTGAGGCTGTGTGTGAAGAAACCAGGCCTGAAGCAGCTGACAGCAGTTTACCATGTTGAACAGTTCCTGATCTGTTCACACTGTACCTTCTACATGAGAGGCTTTTATTTTGAAATTATCTTTATCATTCCTCCATCCATCCATCCATCCATCCATCCATCCATCCATCCATCCATCCATCCATCCATCCATCCATCCATCCATCCATCCATCATC